ATTTATTTTGTTCTAGTTTTCGGTTATATGTATGAATTTAGATTTTTTAATATATTATATATTATATTTAATATATAATATTATATATTATATATTAATATATTATATTTAATATATTATATTACAGTTGTTGTCACAAAGAGTTGGTGCGCCGAGAGCTTCTGCGGCCGAATATTACGTGCAAAAAGCGAATCCCGAATTATGGTCCCACATGGCTCGATATTCCTTGTCGAATGTCGCCGAGGGCGTAGAAAAATTGAGAAACGGCACTCTGGACATCTTAATCTCGGACACGCCGATTCTGGATTATTATCGGGCGACTGACAACGGTTGCCGCTTGCAGAAAATCGGCGATACTATCAACGAGGACACTTATGCAATCGCGCTTACGCGAGGACATCCCTTGAAAGAAAGCATATCTAAAGTTATAGCGAACTATACAAGCAACGGGTTGCTCGACATTTTGCAAGAAAAATGGTAAGCGATGCGCAAAAATAAGTGCAAAAATTGGATAATCGATATCGGTTCGCGTGCGATTTTTCTTTTTATTTGCGCGATAACGAGAGTGTAATAATTACCTTAGACGAAAATACATTAGGTGATAAATAAAGTCCGACGCGCAGAATATATGCGAGAAAAACATAAGCAAGTATGTTATTTGTCTCTTTAAAAACTTATTTTGCATTAAATCAATTTATTTGGAAAATTACACGTGTATTGAACGTAGTTTATTATACATATTAAACATATATAATATAAATTTATTTGTTAGTTTTATATTTATTAGCTTTATACATTTTATACGTTTTTTCATATGTTTATATAACAATGAGATCATCAGTATTAAAAAAAAATTAAAATCAGTGAGGTAAACACTTTATATAAAGTAAGCTAATTCCAGGTACGGCGATCTACCTTGTCTAAGCGGTCGAGCAGGGATGGACTTAGATTTTGATCCGGGTGGTCAACCCAGGCCACTGGGAGTCGCATCCGTGGCCGGAGTATTTTGCCTGCTCGGAATGGGTGTGGTGCTTGGATCCATTATATTAGCGGGAGAACATCTCTTCTACAAATACACGCTGCCGCGATTACGGCATAGACCGGAGGATTCCATCTGGCGTAGCCGCAACGTCATGTTCTTCTCGCAGAAGCTGTACAGGTTTATCAACTGTGTGGAACTGGTCTCGCCGCATCATGCTGCTCGCGAATTGGTGCACACGGTGCGACAAGGCCAGATCGCATCGCTTTTCCAGAAAAGCGTTAAACGAGTGCGTATCCTCAATTTTTTAAACGACCCACAAGTTCGTGAATTGAATGTGATAATGTAAAAGTTGAAATAATTGAAAAAACTTAGAGAGTTTTTTTTATTTGAAAATTTACGTTTGCATACTTATGGAGTGCGCTTATTTTAATTTTTAAATATTTACAATGTTTCCATGTTCCAGAAGGAACATGAACAACGTCGCAGACGTAAGAGCAAAGCACAATTCTTCGAGATGATTCAGGAAATTCGAAGGTAAGAGAATATAATTTTCAAGCTTATCAAAAGAAACAAATTTTGTTTTTTTGTTGATGAAACCAACATTTTTTTATAATCCATCACATCAGAATAGAATAATAGAAGAGGGTGTCAGAGTGCAAGAAACTTCTGAATATTTAAATTTCTTTTAGAGTACAACAAGAAGAAAAGATCGAGACGGTACCCGAGGAGAACGATACCGCCAAGACTGTGAAAAAAGATGAGAAATTGGGAAAAGGTAGAGAGAGAAGTCGCAGCAAGAGTCCGCTGATGCCTCGAAGTCCTAAACGATCGGAGAAGAGTAGAAGTTCGACGAATTTGTCGGCATCTCGTCTAGGATTGTCGCCGGTGAGTCTCGATGCGCCGATGAAGCCGCGCGAGTTCACACTCAGCAGCACTAATTTGCGCGCGAGGAGTCCACTAGAGACGGTAGGCCGTAGATTGAGCCACGGAGACGGTGGATCGCCGCCACCGCGTCTTGCTAGCTTCGGCGGCAGTGCGACTCTGCGTCCGTTAGTACCTACTAGAAGCGATTCGGCCGGCACACCGACCATTCGTCGTGATTCTACCGCTGGGGGCGGCGGCGTGCCAACGCCGAGATATCCTCGCAGCCCGGCCAAGCGAGGCCAATCCTTCCCGGTATTCGCCACTTTGAGACCTCCGCACTCGGCTGGCTATCAGTCGAGGAGCCCGTTATTGTCGCCGAACAGCGAACTCACATCCGCCATCGGGAGAAAATTATCGCGCGAATGGGGCTCCGGAACTATTGACCTCACCAGGTCTTCGGAGGCTATAGGCAGCAGTAGTGGCGGCGGTGGAGGTGGTAGTCGTGGTTCAACGTATACCCTGAATCAGGAAATGACGTTTTCCTTGAGTCGTTCCGGCGAAGAGAAGACCCAAGAGGAAGCGTTGTCGATCAAGAAGCCCATCCGACGCGCCAGGAGTCATGAGAATCGCGACAGTAGTAAGTTAATGGCAGATCTGCCGTCGCCGAGATTGACCCAGCCAGTGGTGGGCGGTCAGTTTGTAAGCGAGCGAACCAAGAAACAGCTGGACTCCGAGCTGAAGGCCATTCTAACTGCCAGGGCCCACCACCGCGATCTGCATCCTCCTTGATAGGAGACCGCCCCATATTAAGGGAGAGTTCTTGAAAGCAGTTCGGCTTTTGGAGGATTGCTGAGCCTTTGAGGGGCTTTGGTTGATTTTAAGCAATATCAGATTTATAGGTCAATTTGTTAGAGGAATCCGACAATTTATCGGAAAAATTAAGAACTAGTCACAGGCACGGCGATGCGAGTAAATGGAAAGAATTTTCTGCTGTTGGAGTGAGGGGAGGGATGAGATAAAAAGAACGGAGAAGAGATCTCTTTGATTGTTCATATGTTGTTACGTACATTGATAATATAGGATAAACAAAAGTGCTATAAACTCTAGTAGTGATGTCTTAAATAGGTAGCGAGACACATATGAGTACTAAGATATTTTCTTGTTGACATTTTAACTCTACATTAACCGGCAGCCTGGGGTGAGTCTCTCTCGATTGCTATGGTACCAGATATTGTACGCTGCAGCGTTTCTCAACTCCGATCTTCGACGAATTTCGTCACGATCTTAGTACGTAGTGGATAGAGCTCTTTCAAAAATTATCTCAAAACCAGTTTATGCAAAAAAAAAAATAACATTCATCAGGTCAGGTCTGTCCAAGTTTATTGAGTGGGTCTCCATCCGCAACTATTCGCACCACTGACTCCCAGCGACGGCGATCGATTAGCCGTACACCAAGCGCACGAATACAACGAACATAATGATTTATGGATGCAGCATCGGGCATCTATTCCCATTTAGTGTTTCTTTCTGGCGGTAACGATGGAGAGACGGAGGCATTTCGCTCGCAAATAAAAACTTGAACAGGCCACGCATACTAGGATAATTCGTCCCTTTGGGGAGTGTAAATATCTCGAGACTGTCGTTTCTTCGATCTCTCGTCTGTACTGAATATTGTAAATACGGCGGAACTCTTATTCCAGATACCTCGTCATAGGCAAGGCGTAACGCGTAGCGAAAGTTGAGAAACGCTGATCTACCGAACCTCGTCGAATTGGATTGCATACTGCCACTTTAATAATTTCTGTGACTGCGGAAGGAGAGAGACTCGCTCGATGGACTCTCGGCGTAGAATGACCACTTAACGCGAGATAATATGTATTAAATCTTACAATTATCGCGCATAGGAAGGAAAGAATTTGGAGGTCTGACGGAATTCTAATCGAGTTAACATATATATTCGCGGGTTATTTGATACCTGAAATCGGACCCGGCAAGAGGACTGGAAGTGAATATCTAAACTAAGAAGGGTTCTTCTTTTTCGCAACCACGTCGCGAATTCCTCGTGACATCGCAATTATCTCCTAAAGCAGTGCCAAACATCAGTATTAACTTCGTGACTCAGTATTAACTTCGACTTTGTTTGTTTTCATCCGACATGAGAGATGTGTAATAGAATGTATATTTTAGCTAGATAAGCGCCGGGGTCCGGTATTATGCGATAACTTTGCTCGTTCGTTCGCTGTGCAACTTGGTAAATCTCCGACCTCGTGGTTGGCGAATTTATCGATTTCTTCTGACGGTTTTACTAGACTGATAGGCGAAATTTTATTCAGGAATTGTAAATGAAACATTATCGGAATTGAATAATTATTACTGATCGATGTGCATGTCTCCCATCTTCGTCTATCGAATTCTTTCGATTTACTTGATGAAAAAGGGGGCGAACTCACGTCTAGTCTCATTATTATTCAACTTAGATAGTAGAACATGGATGTGCGTGGGACTAAAAAGATTTAAAAAAGAAAAAGGAGGAAGACGAGATTCGATTTAATTAATTTAAAGAGAATGAGAAGATTTATATGAGCGAGGCCTTAGAGGAGTAGTCGTATCCGCCCAAAAAAAAGATACTTTACTTAAAACTAGTACTGTACTGTACTCGAATATTTCACTACATTATATTGTACGATAGAGTATAATATAGACTTATTTAGTTTCATAGCTCTCCTCGGTAGAACGCTATTGTATTCAAAAAATTTAAACTAAATTCCTCGTCGAGTCCTTAGTGAGTAGGTCTCTCCGTGTGTGAGTGTACGTGCGACTATTTTTTCCCAGGAACGCGGCGGCGACGATCGCCGACGGTCGAACGCGAACGAGCCGCCGTGGGAGTAGACTATACTTTTCCGGTAGAGCTAGAGCGTCATTATCCTCGTTAAATAGGTCGTGGCTAGTAATCCCGAGGGTGGTTCCTTCGGTTCTACGTGCGTCAATTCGACGCGACGCGATGCGTTTTGCGTCGCGTCGCATCGCGCCGAAGCCGCGCGTTCGAAATCGATGAAAGTGTCCTGAATGATTGCACCTACGAGAGGGTCATCGCATCCAGGTTTGCGTTCAGCGAAACTTGCTAAGCGTTTTTATGAGCGCGTTAAACGATCCCGCCGATGACACACGCACACGCATGCACCGACACGCCGCATCTCGCCTACGTTTACTAAGCACGTGGTGTCTTGTCACGTGGAACGCACCACCACTCAGTTCTCGCTCGCTTCTCTCATCGACCCTTCAAAAACTTGCTCGTCTCCGTCATATCGCTGGGCTAATTTGCCGAAGGAGAAGCTGAAGCTCGATTCCACCGATATAAGGTTAACTTTAATCTCGGTTCAATTTATTCGTTATCTTGTTTTAATGCCCGTTTCTACTAATGAGATTAACTTTAATTTCGGTTCATCTTATTTTAATTCTTAGACTCAATTTCACAACTCATAGTTAACTCTTAACTGAGGTTCAATATATTTCTCATCTCTTTCCAATTTTAGAATTGTAAAGAGATAAAGATAATGTATATGTAATAGAAAGATTAGAAAAAGAAAGCAGTAAAAAGGAATTAGAAAAAGATAAGTAAACTGAGATTAAAATTAATCTTACGTTGGTGAAACCGGACTTAAGATGGACCTTTTACGTAAACCATTCACGGCAGACTATATAGGCGTAATCTGTGCTGCAATTAATTCAGGAAGTGATCAAAATACAAACATATAGGGGGCCAGTCTAGAGTCACCCGCGCCTAAAGAAATCAAAGATAGACTTATTAAAATTAATTTATATAAGCTGTAATTCTCCTCGTAACGTGTGGGTTCTTCCAGTAATTTAGTTCAGTAGAGCTCTCTCTCCACCCCCTTCTTCTTTCTTCGTTTTCCTTCGCGTTGTTTCATTCTCACAAACTGGGAATAAATCCCTTTCTGATGTTTCTCTCGAGGATGTCCCTTGTACATAACGTGTCTTCTATTAGATACCCCCTGAAGGAACACTATTGCACTGAATTAAAGGTCGAGCCCCTCTACATCTTTGTGCGCCAACAAGAGCCTGTTAGAAATCATATGCACGGAAAGATAAAAGCAAAATGTACTTATCTCGTTGTCATCATCATCGTCTCCACGATCTCCTTCTGAGATGCAATTCTAGGCGGTTGCAACTCTGTCGCGACGAATATCGAGAGATTTGGAATCATCAATTTCTAGATGTAATCTCAGCGTAACAATTCTCAGAGAGAGAGAGAGAGAGAGAGAGAGAGAGAGAGAAGGGAAAGAAATGTACACGGATGATAAGCAGAATCTTAAAATAATTTCCGAGAAATCGTCATTCTAATTAAATAAATAATCTGTGCTCTCTCGTTCGATAACTTACAACTATTCTTTGAATGTTTATCATCAAAAGTATTCTTCGAAGTGTTGATCTCATTGCAATATAGCTGTACTTATTATATATCCATGTATGTATGTGTATATATATATATATATATATATATATATATGTATCTGGAATTGCCGGCCTATAATGATAAATGAAGATATACTACCTTCCACGCGTTTTTCTCCGTGATACATGAGTTTCCAGTGTACGATATTTCGAAATCGCGTAAAGTGCACTCGCTCTTCTCTTTCCACCATTTCTCTGCGCATTCTCGTGTTCTCGATGACACGACGATGCGAATGAGAACGAGGATGATGAAAGAGGATAAGTAAAAGGAAAAAAAATAGAAAAACTCGCGAAGACGAAAAAAGGCAAACGAATACACCAATTAGAACAAAGGAGAGTCCGTAGATTCCGAGAAACGCATTCACGGCGGATTGAGTTATCGGATCACATGATCGAGTCATTCTCATTATCATTATCGCGTTGATTAATGATATCATATTAATTCACTCACTAACGGGCAATAAGATTATTCTACAAAGCACTGCCATAATTTGAACTGTTGTTACGTTGATTTTGAAATCCTGCCAAGTAATACCACTATTTGATATTGTCGAACGAATGGGTCCTATCCTGCTAAGTGATGAATTAATATGCAAATGTCTCGCATGCTGCTGTCCGGTGTTTACTCCGCAGTGTTTATCTTTGCAAAGCGAATATCGCTCTATATTCGCGAATGATTAATTTCGCATTTATTACATTTCCAGTTATCACTTCAAGACAATTTCCAATATTAATTTTCAATAATGCAATTTTTTAATTTTTTGTCCCCATAGATAGCTAGATAGAATTTATCAGATTTCACAAAATAATTTTCATCACAAATTTTATTAGCTGTCAGCGGAAATAAAAACTGCTAATGCATTACCAAATTATTGGTTAACCAAATTATTGCATTACCAGCAGAAATTTGCTATTTCATAATCATTTAAACAATGTTCCATTTAAATGATACGTTTCATTTAAATAGAATATGCCGTATTTTTTTTTTTTTTTTGGAAATAAATTCTGCTCGGTTTTGCTGTCAATCTACTATCAATCTACTATCAAATTATATTGACAGACTTTTTCTTGCTTGAAATGAAAGTAAATTATTAAGTATAATATAAATTATTAACTATTAAGTTGCGATAATCGTCTCCGTGCTCCTTAAACGCGTCAACGCACAATTGCGACAAACAATACCGAGAAATCTCCGTCAGCTGTTGCAGCTATAGATTTTCCTTCCAATATGTGACGTCTTGATTTGTTACTTGATAAGGAAGGATCGGCTATAACGTAATGTAATGCGTTAGACTTTACGGAATAATTAATCGTAAGAGATTAACATAGCATGTGGCTCTTCCGTTTCGTATAACTGCAAAAAAATGGGTTACCGTGGCGTGTACCTCGTTTCTCGCTGCACATTATTAAATGCGAACACATTAGTAATGCGCATAAGGCGATAATTTAATCCTCGAGCGGTCGTAATTATCGAATTGTTCTTAACTCATACTTATTACTCTACTTTCTTTGTGCATTTAATGATATGACG